CAAGCTGCGGTGTATTATTAATGACTTATTCTCTTGGTAAAGCTTTCCAAAAAGAGAACAATGCCACAGTGGCTTTCTTGGCAATCTTTCATGAGCCGTAGAACCGACATGCACAAATAATCCGCAGAATTATTGTTCGTGTCATTATATGAGTCTTTATAATAAAAAAAAAAACACCGTGCCTGAAAGCACACGGAAATTCCCTGGGATATTGAATCACCCTCACCTAGGAAATAGCTTAGCTCACTTAGAGATGGGTAAGGCGGGGGGAGCAGAGGAGCCCTCCCTCGCCAGAAAACCGGCCCACAAGGGCCTTTTTCCCGTACATCCAAGACAAGGCTTTATGCAACTTCAATGGCTAATACTGCTCCAACTGTAATCATCAAAATAAGTAGAATTAGAAAAATGGCAAATGTTATGGGAGAGAAACTACAAGTTAACCATGTCAACTTCATACAAAGAAAATCTGTATAAAATGTTTTATAGATGGCACCTGCCGCCAGCAAGATTAGCAAAAATGTTTAAAAATATGTCAGATAGCTGTTGGAAATGTAAACATAACATAGGCACGTATTATCACATCTGGTGGACATGTGGTAAGGCAAAGGCCTATTGGAGAAAGATACATATGTGGTTAGAAAGAATATTAGGTGAACAAGTGGATTTTAAACCTGAACTTTTTTTACTAGGTATTATGCCTGAAAAGACTAATAAGCAGAAATTATATTTAATCTTACACATCACCACAGCAGCGAGAATAATTTTTGCACAATACTGGAAGAATGAAGGATTGCCATCAGAAGAAGAAATAATCAGGAAAATATTGGAATGTGCAGAGATGGACATTAACTATGAGGTTGAAAGATAAAGAAGATACAGACTATTATCAAATTTGGGACCTATTTTATTGTTGGCTAGAGGAAAGAATGAAGGATTAGGAATTGAACATGTATTAGCAAAGCAAACTCCAGACAACTTGTTGATTGGAAAAATTAACATATGTTGATGAAAAAAAAACCCAATAAAATCTTTATAAAAAATAAATAAAAATAAGCATCCATTCCCTGCTTCATAGCTTATGGTAGTAGAGCATTGTTAGGGAACCACCCAGCTTTAATTGGGATGCTATCTTGATAAATCAGTCTTCGACTTTTGTTTTCATTCTGGTTGGGTTTTTTTCCGCATGCCTGCACTTTATCACCAGTGAGTATGTGAGGCACACTCCACCCAACCCTATGGATGTGAGGAGGAACTGATGTTGTTATTTAGCCAAATAATTCATGAACAAGAGTAACTGGCCTTAGAAGGATATTTAGCACGGAAGAAAAGGGTGGATGGCGAAGCTAATGGAATTGGCTGACTCCGATTAAAGAGAAGATTTGGTCTAACTTCCTTGTTAGAGATCCAAAGAAGTGAACATTTAATTTTGGGATTTGACCATGAGAAACTGTACGATTATAGAAATAGCGTGTCTTATTGTTGATTTTAGATGAAGAGGTTAATGTATTTTATACCTGTAGCTGCACCGAAGAAAGTTGGAAGTGATTCTTCCTTTTTTTTCCCCTTTCTCTTTTTTCTCTATTTTCTTTCCATTTGGATTCCTGATTTTGCTCTTTTTGACTTCGCTTTTCCCTAATCACTTCTTTTCCGCCTCTTTTGCCTTTTGCCTTTTGCTGACTCTTAACAGAAACGTTAAAAAGTAATGATCTTTGTGAAGTTCTTGCCTTTAATCATGCACGGTTGAATAAACCACAGTTGGCTAGGCTTACAACTTGGTGCTCAGCCATAAACCATGCTTTCAGCTGAAGTCACATATTGCCAAGCCAAATCCCCCATAAGACCTTCCAAAATGCCTACCCATGACCTGTCAATCCAGGCAATTCTTTTGATGACAGGACCATCTAAAGAAAGAAAGTACAAGTACCAATGAATGAATCAGTTCCATATTTCCTTCTTAATGTGATCACTTCTTCTCTTCAAAGACTTCAAAGGGACCATTGAAGACGTATTGCCAACCCTGAAGCAAGAAAATGTGCTTGTTTATTTCTTAAGTAGAACGTCTGACACTGAAGGGGTTGACAGTTTCCTTGACAAGATGGAAGCTGCTTCAGATGAGGCTGTTCCAGAATCTTGGAGATCAGATATTACTTGCAAAAGCCCCGCCATGTACATTTATACCTCTGGAACTACAGGTAGAGTAAAAGAAAAGTCTCTAGATTGGCTCCTGTTTTGTTAAGAATTGGACAGGGTGTTTGGGGATGAGGGAAGATATCCACCATGTTTGGCAGAACATCATCTTGATGAAAGCTAGCTGAGAGGCAGGACTTGCAAGACAGCCCATCACATATTTTACTGAGAAGTTCAATTGAACTTTGTACCCAATAAGTTAAATTCATGTGTGATTTGGAAAGTACAGAAATATTGAAGATTGCGTGGATGGATGGATGGATGGATGGATGGATGGATGGATGGATGGATAGATAGATAGATAGATAGATAGATAGATAGATAGATAGATAGATAGATAGATAGATAGGGATGGATGGATGGATGGATGGATAGATAGATAGATAGATAGATAGATAGATAGATAGATAGAAGATAGATAGATAGATAGATAGATAGATAGATAGATAGATAGATAGATAGATAGATAGATAGATAGATAGATATGGATGGATAGGTAGGTAGGTAGGTAGGTAGGTAGGTAGGGATAGATAGATAGATAGATAGAGAGAGAGAGAGGGGGGGGGGAATGGATGGATGGATGGATAGTAGATAGATAGATAGATAGATAGATAGATAGATAGATAGATAGATAGATAGATAGATAGATAGATAGATAGATAGATAGATAGATAGATAGATAGGATTTCTCTCCGACTTGTTAGCTTTTTACATTAGAATCATTCCCTTTGACACGGTAAAGTGCTTTTTCATGTATAAAGATTCTTTTGAAAATATACATATAAAGAAGATACACGACAGATGAATCGAACTCCCCCCAATTAAATGATAAATATTGCAGTGCACAGACGCTGCTGTATCACGTCTCTAAAGGAACGACTCTGTTCACATGCTTGGAAAGTCAACTAACCTTTTTTTTTCACATAGGTCTCCCCAAAGCTGCAGTGATTACTCATCTCCGTGTATTATTGGGTTGTGGTTTGATCATGCTCAGTGGTGTCACTTCAGAGGACATTATTTACACCACCCTGCCATTATATCACAGCTCTGCCCTCTTGCTTGGAGTAAATGGTTGCATCATGCAAGGTAAGAAGTCTAAATAAAATTGAAAAGCGTGTTTTAGACCATCCTGACAACTACATGGTCTTAAACACCTCATGGAAAAGCATACTGATTGTTCAAAAGTTATGCTACTTTTATCTGTCTATTTCCATCCGAGCACTGGGCAAATCTAGAATCTTCTTCTGTGGAGGTTCTTAATGAATTATATGAAAATATTTCATTGCGGGTCAGATGTGCTCCAGATTTACCTCTTGGCACCCATTTTTACTCAGATAGGAAGGAAGCAAAGTTGTCGACCTGCTCCTCGCCTTCCCTCTCTATTAATCTTCCTTATAAATTCTACAACCCAAAATCTAGGAAATTTTGAAAGGTCGTAAAAAGGGGGCAAAACTCACTGAACAACTGTCTTGCTTAGCAGTGGCAATGTTAGGCTCAGTTGTGGTCCTACGTTGAAGACTTACCTGTATGTCCTCACAGCTATTACTATCTCTAGGGCTAATTGCTACCTTTCCGTGTAGAGCACCATCGCTTCGTATCTCAGACCCACTGAATCTGTTCTGTCAAACATTTTGAGGTCCATTGCCTCAGTGCCCCAAACATATCCAATAGTTAGAGCTGGTCGTTGTTTGTCTTGGGGCTCACACAAGGCTTCGCCATTTTAGATTCTGTACTCAACCGATTTTCACAAAAGGTGGCTTTCTTCTTGATTCTTCTGGATGGTTTTCAGTCAGCTTGGGAAAAAGACAGCGGTTATCAATCTTAGACAACCTGGCTTCTCAGTGAGGTGACTTCACGAGGGCCACAAGGAACACCGTCCTTCCCGACCACACTCACAATGTGGATAGTCTAAACGGAGCACCGTTTTAACACCGGCATTGTAACTCTATCATCCTGGGGAACTTTCGTTGGAGCGAAATTTAGTTCCCTACTTCCATATTATCAGAAAGAATCAGAGTCATATCTTAATCTAAGATCAACGATCTGATTACATTTGATTGTTCTACCCTTTTGTATAGTTTGACATGTAGACCTAACAATTATCCTATGGCCAAACTGGCTGGGCTGGTTTGATGAGGAGAAAGATTGCTTTTTTTTCTGGCTGATGTCTTTTTCTGAAAGAAAGTAGCCACATTTTACACAATTGGTATTGCCAGTAAGGGATTCATGGTTTAGATTTTAAAATAATTATATTACAAACATTTATTTGTTTCATGCCATGAATGAGAGTCACCAGTAATTTAATTTTCTTTCTTTCTTTCTTTCTTTCTTTCTTTCTTTTTCTTCCTTCCTTTTTCTTCCTTTTCTTTCTTTCTTTCTCTTTCTTTCTTTTTCTCTTTCTTTCTTTCTTTCTTTCTTTCTTTCATCATCTATTATCTCTATCTATGTCTATTTATCTATCTATTCTATCTATCATATATCCTATATCACCCATCTCTATCTGCCATCTGTCTGTCTGTGTCTGTCTTTCTATCTATCATTTATTCTGTTCGCCTGTAATCTACTTCACCTAACTCTTCCTTGTTTTTTCTCTCGTTTTCTTCCTTTAGATTGCACATTTGTTGATTTATGGCCTCAGACTTGATTCATATGGAGTAATTTAAAACAAAATCCCCAAGACTGTGCATTTGCAAGAGCTTGTGCAGGAACACCAAAACCTCACCGAAGAGACACCAAAATCTTGTATAACTTCTCAAGCTGGCAAAGTTCGAACCACGTTCAAAGCATGAAGGTGTTCAATCATGTAGCAGTGTCCCTCAGCAATCATAAGCACCATGCCGCAGACTCTTGTTCTACCGTGGGGTAGAGTTGCTCAGCGGATAGATATTGAGCTGAATGCACACTTTAGAACAGGGGTCTTCAAACTTGACCCTTTGAGGACTTGTGGACTTCAACTCCCAGAATTCCTCACCCAGGCACGCTGGCTGAGGAATTCTGGGAGTTGAAGTCCACAAGTCATCAACGGGCCAAGTTTGAAGACCCCTGCTTTAGAAATTGGCCTCCTATCAAACCCGGAGGTATCCACCCAAATAGACAACGAAGAGGATGATGGATAGACCTTTTTTCTTCAGCAGTAGGTTTGAGAACATGTCAATGCATGGATAGAGATCTCATCTATTTCCCATTTTCCCTTCATTCACAGGTGCTACCCTAGTATTACGCTCAAAATTCTCTGCTTCTCAGTTTTGGGATGATTGTAGAAAATACAAGGTGACTGTCATACAGTACATTGGAGAGGTGCTACGTTATNGATAGATAGATAGATAGATGGATGGATGGATGGATGGATGGATGGATGGATGGATGGATAGATAGATAGATAGATAGATAGATAGATAGATAGATAGATAGATAGATAGATAGATAGATAGATAGATAGATAGATAGATGATAGATAGATAGGATTTCTCTCCGACTTGTTAGCTTTTTACATTAGAATCATTCCCTTTGACACGGTAAAGTGCTTTTTCATGTAAAAAAATTTTTTTTGAAAATATACACATAAAGAAGATACACGACAGATGAATCGAACTCTCCCCAATTAAATGATCAATATTGCAGTGCACAGACGCTGCTGTATCACGTCTCTAAAGGAACGACTCTGTTCCCATGCTTGGAAAGTCAACTAACCTTTTTTTTCCACATAGGTCTCCCCAAAGCTGCAGTGATTACTCATCTCCGTGTATTATTGGGTTGTGGTTTGATCATGCTCAGTGGTGTCACTTCAGAGGACATTATTTACACCACTCTGCCATTATATCACAGCTCTGCCCTCTTGCTTGGAGTAAATGGTTGTATCATGCAAGGTAAGAAGTCTAAATAAAAACGAAAAGCGTGTTTTAGACCATCCTGACAGCTACATGGTCTTAAACACCTCATGGAAAAGCATACTGATTGTTCAAAAGTTATGCTACTTTTATCTGTCTATTTCCATCCGAGCACTGGGCAAATCTAGAATCTTCTTCTGTGGAGGTTCTGAATGAATTATATGAAAATATTTCATTGCGGGTCAGATGTGCTCCAGATTTGCCTCTTGGCACCCATTTTTACTCAGATAGGAAGGAAGCAAAGTTGTCGACCTGCTCCTCGCCTTTCCTCTCTATTAATCTTCCTTATAAATTCTACAACCCAAAATCTAGGAAATTCCGAAAGGTCGTAAAAAGGGGGCAAAACTCACTGAACAACTGTCTTGCTTAGCAGTGGCAATGTTAGGCTCAGTTGTGGTCCTACGTTGAGGACTTACCTGTATGTCCTCACAGCTATTACTATCTCTAGGGCTAATTGCTACCTTTCCGTGTAGAGCACCATCGCTTCATATCTCAGACCCACTGAATCTGTTCTGTCAAACATTTTGAGGTCCATTGCCTCAGTGCCCCAAACATGCCCAATGGTTAGAGCTGGTCGTTGTTTGTCTTGGGGCTCACACAAGGCTTCGCCATTTTAGATTCTGTACTCAACCGATTTTCACAAAAGGTGGCTTTCTTCTTGATTCTTCTGGATGGTTTTCAGTCAGCTTGGGAAAAAGACAGCAGTTATCAATCTTAAGACAACCTGGCTTCTCAGTGAGGTGACTTCACGAGGGCCTCAATGAACACAGTCCTTCCCCTCCACACTCACAATGTGGATAGTCTAAACGGAAAACCGTTTTAACACCGGCATTGTAACTCTATCATCCTGGGGAACTTTCGTTGGAGCGAAATTTAGTTCCCTACTTTTCATATTATCAGAAAGAATCAGAATCTTATCTTAATCTAAGATCAACGATCTGATTACATTTGATTGTTCTACCCTTTTGTATAGTTTGACATGTAGACCTAACAATTATCCTATGGCCAAACTGGCTGGGCTGGTTTGATGAGGAGAAAGATTGCTTTTTTTTTTTCGGCTGATGTCTTTTTCTGAAAGAAAGTAGCCACATTTTACACAATTGGTATTGCCAGTAAGGGATTCATGGTTTAGATTTTAAAATAATTATATTACAAACACTTATTTGTTTCATGCCATGAATGAGAGTCACCAGTAAATTTATTTATTTTTTTTCTTTCTTTCTTTCTTTCTTTCTTTCTTTCTTTCTTTCTTTCTTTCTTTCTTTCTTTCTTTCTTTCTTTCTTTCTTTCTTTCTCTTCCTTCCTTTTTCTTCCTTTTCTTTCTTTCTTTCTCTTTTTCTCTTTCTTTCTTTCTTTCTTTCTTTCTTTCATCATCTATTATCTCTATCTATGTCTATTTATCTATCTATTCTATCTATCATATATCCTATATCACCCATCTCTATCTGCCATCTGTCTGTCTGGGTCTGTCTTTCTATCTATCATTTATTCTGTTCGCCTGTAATCTACTTCACCTAACTCTTCCTTGTTTTTTCTCTCGTTTTCTTCCTTTAGATTGCACATTTGTTGATTTATGGCCTCAGACTTGATTCATATGGAGTAATTTAAAACAAAATCCCCAAGACTGTGCATTTGCAAGAGCTTGTGCAGGAACACCAAAACCTCACCGAAGAGACACCAAAATCTTGTATAACTTCTCAAGCTGGCAAAGTTCGAACCACGTTCAAAGCATGAAGGTGTTCAATCATGTAGCAGTGTCCCTCAGCAATCATAAGCACCATGCCGCAGACTCTTGTTTTACCGTGGGGTAGAGTTGCTCAGCGGATAGATATTGAGCTGAATGCACACTTTAGAACAGGGGTCTTCAAAGTTGGCCCTTTGATGACTTGTGGACTTCAACTCCCAGAATTCCTCAGCCAGGCACGCTGGCTGAGGAATTCTGGGAGTTGAAGTCCACAAGTCATCAACGGGCCAAGTTTGAAGACCCCTGCTTTAGAAATTGGCCTCCTATCAAACCCGGAGGTATCCACCCAAATAGACAACGAAGAGGATGACGGATAGACCTTTTTTCTTCAGCAGTAGGTTTGAGAACATGTCAATGCATGGATAGAGATCTCATCTATTTCCCATTTTCCCTTCATTCACAGGTGCTACCCTAGTATTACGCTCAAAATTCTCTGCTTCTCAGTTTTGGGATGATTGTAGAAAATACAAGGTGACTGTCATACAGTACATTGGAGAGGTGCTACGTTAT